CGAAAATATGAAAATACATTAACTTTTTCTATGATGTTTTTATTTTTCTATATACAATCGCTGATCTCAGCATAAATAATCGATAAATTTATAAATGAGAAACTTCCTTTATGGTAATTTCGCGAGTAAATAAACCGAAACGAATATGTTTAAGTGTTTTAGAAACAATAATTTTATTTTTATATATTTTATAATTATTATGCATTACAATTTATCTAAAGTAAATATAATATATAATTTATTTCATGCTAGTTTAACTAAATATGCACATCAAAATATTAAGATAAAATATTAAAAATATTCTTTGTAAATTATACGAAGAAGAGATTTTTTTACATCTTGTTTATCTCTATTTGTATAAATAAAATGTCATGCATATCGCCTGTATGTTCTTTGTATGTATTTAATAGATATGTGGAATATTATATATTTACATTATATATATATATATATATATATATATATATATGGAAATAGTGTGGCTTTTCATATTTATTTCGAATCACAAATTCAAACGATCTTAAAATTAAATTTATCTATATTTTCCATCATTTAGATGAGATTAGAAAATTGAAATAAGACAAGACCACTACTAATTCCACTGGCGATGGCTTTCGGTCTGTGGTTTGTGCTGTAATGGATAATTCTCACGGATATAACGGTATATAATGAAATTAAAAAACAATAGTAAAAATCGAATCAATATTGATAAAGAGCACAGTAAATATAATAATAATTTATACAAATTATACAATTTAATAAAATATTAAAGGAATGATAAAATATTAGTAAATACAAGATCTATTATCTATCCATGAATCTAACGTTAATCCGATAAATTAGTATAACTTTGTATTTTCGCAATGAATCGTTTTTAGAAATCCTAAAGGATAACGCTTCTTTGAAGTATTTATCTAATCTTAATATCCTTTTATGTACGTATTATAGCAGCGTCGCTCCTAAAATTAACCCAGTTTCGTCTCAAAGTTAACTGGACTTAATATCTGTCATATAGATTATGTTCAATACCCCCAGGTTTCTCTTGCAACAAAACAATTAAACAAGTATATCAGTTGCATTCATCACACAGTTTTAGGGATAAAGACCGTTATATTTCTTTCTGTAGCATTGTGTTTTCTTCGAAGAAACAACATATCCTCTTGTCCACGTTGAATATCAACCAATTGTCATGGGTGACGATGACTAAGAGGATTAAATTGTTTACCGACAAATCTTATTTAATTAATACAAAATAATATCCATTGTTTATTGTAATATATATATATATATATATATATATATATATATATTACAACTTATTTACGTATGCTGACACATTGAGAATTTATGTGATAATTCCTTTTATCATTTGTTTTGAAAAATATCAACTTACCTTTTTGATAGTTTTCCTAGCATTCCTATTTTATTCAGGGTTATAATGTTACATAAAATTTATTGTACGAGTCTTATAGGGTCGCAAAATTTGCTGGAGAAATTATTTTAATATGAAATTATTTCTGTTATTAATAGTTGCTCTATTTTTCTGAATTTTGTAAATACATGTATACTAAAAACATATTCCTAGGCATCCAATTGCTGCCGTGAAAAAAATCACAGACCCTTAAGATGAAAGTATAAATTTAAAATATTTATAATACATAATGTTATATTAAGTTATGGTACGTAATATATCATATATATTATTATATAACATCATATATATATATATATATAATTTTATATAATGTATACAATGTTCAATAGTGCTCATTGTAACATCTACATCTCAAAATGTCAGTAAGTTTGTTGAATGTTAAAATAATTAAATAATAATTAATACGTTTTATATTCATTATATTTTAATTAAATTAAACTGCATCAAAAGTTTTGAGTTTATCAAAAATTTCAAATTTATTTCAATTATGTGATAAATCTTAAAATTTTAAAATAATTAGTTTCAAAATAATTTTAATATAATTTTATTTTTCAGTATAATAATTTTACGATTAGATTATAACTTATATTTAATAATTTGTTATGTTATTTATAAAAGATTTATGAACTATGGGATAAAAAAGTATTTTTGTTTAACAAATGTGTGAAAATCGTATTAAAAAAAAATTGAATTACTTTGTAACTGAATTTTTATGAAAATTTTTTTGCGGTTACAAATATAATTCTATACAGAATTTAAATACCTAAGTATTAAAATTAAAATAAGTTTTAGTTCTATAAAATTAAGATAATATTCAATATAATTCGTCTTTTTTTTTTTGGCTTATTACAAATTATTTTTAAATATTATATTACTTAAAGATAATTTTTATCATATACGTCTTTCAAAAATTTTTCCACTTACATATATTGATTGTTGATATATATGTGTATGATTATTCGATAGAAAAGGGTCCGTAAATTCATTTTAAAGTGATATTGTATATCATTAAAATTTCTTCTATATATGAAATATTAGTGTTTCAAATTTCTGGATAAAATTTTAATGATAAAATTAAGAACTCGACGATTAATCGAAATTTATATGTAGACTCTGTGAATGAAAGTATTATAGTTGCATTATTCAACTTTTTACATGATCCAGTAATGTTAGAAAGAATTTTACATATATTTTCACTTATAACTAAGTGATTCAATTTAAAAATTAGGATGCTGTTTTATTATGAAATTAAATGATAATTTTACCAACATAATAGTTCATGTTTAACAAAATGAATAAGCTTATTATATATATATATATATATATATATATATATATAAGTAATGATAAATTGGAAAAAAAAATTTTTATTGATATATTAAAGAATCGTACATTTTCAATTTAAAAAGTTAAATTACTTATTATTGCAATAAAAAAGATATTTTTTTAGGACAGTTTTCTAGTCTCTTTCATTAGAAATTATTGGCTTTTTTAATAAAAGTAACTCAAATAAGTTTATATTATGTATATTTTTCAATTATTTAAACATACATTTTATCAAACAGTTTTATTATCTTATAGTTTATTTGTAATTCCATATTGTACTTAAAGTAACTTATTTCAAATATTTGAAAATGTTTTTTTAATTTTTTTTCAAATACGAAGATAGTATGAAGATGATATTTTTTAATGGATGACAGATATTGTAAAATTGAATGGAAAATGAAAAAAAAACACTCATTAAGCATACCCGCAATTTTGAATGTTAAACAGAAAAATAAATTATACAGAAAAAAGGCTTTCGTAAAATCACAAACAAATTAATAACAAAAAAAGAAAATAATTATAAAGAAGAGCAAACTGAAAACTGAATATTTTCAAAGGCTTTTACTGACATCACCGAGTT